GGGTTCCTAATCTGGAAAGGTCCAGTCCAAGAAAAAACTCCCTCTCCCTAAAATCTATCCCCCTTCTCTCCGTGGGCAAGGTCCTCCTTTTATCCCTTTTTTCCCGGGATACCACATGCACCATCCCCCCTTTTTTATGGGGACTTACCCTACCTTTTCATAAATAGACGGAGATCTGCATGGTTGCCGTTCAAGTCACCTTCTGGTGGGACGGCCCGCACCTACCTCCTCTTTCGCCGGGAGCAGGCGCGACGTAGAATCATGGCTGTCTGCTGGCGACATGACCGGTGTTAGAATGGTCACAAATCGGTCATTCTTGTCCACCACGCGTCAGCTTAACAATCTGCACGTTGGCCCTCCTTCACACTACATTTTGCCTGTAATGGTTAGGATGAAGCCTGGCATATATCTGATCAGAACTAACGTGCCATCTCTGGGAGGTAACACGCTAGCTCCAGCTGGGGACGAGCGCCTAGAAGCCCTCGTCCTGACGGGATGGGGCGAGGCGTGCGTCAGACCGCCTGTCGCCACCTAATCCCGCGATCTGACCGGTCTGTGACTGGTCACAGGCCGGATAAATGAGTGTAATGCACTACGTTACATGCGTCGCGACACGCTCAGTCAAACCGCAATAAATGTGGTTAGGTGAGCCCCACTGTGCTCACCTACCCCATACACGCGGAGCGAAAACCCACGAGGGGTCGGGGCACCTCGGCCCTCGGGGCCGAGGGGGGTGCAGCCCGACCCCCTCGGGGGGACTGAGAGGAGGGCGAACACACCACCTTCGGGCCCGACGTCCCCCGAGGGTGCCAGGCCACGTGGGCGATTGTGTCTGCCTCAAGCCTCTAGTCACGATACTCCCGATCCCATGTCACCGACAAATACACACTAATCTGGGTGTGAAAATTCAATTTCCTTTGCGCATTGCCTCATTCTCCACGCATTCAGACAGAGTAATGACTCTAAGCTTGCATGCTTGAAGGATTAATTGCATAAGCACACATCTTTCCTTCTCTAATATATTAATTTTAGCAACTAGATTAGCATTTCCAACATCCTTTTGCTTCCCCATTGCTTCCATCTATTCCTTTTGCCTAGCAGCATTGGACTCCATCTGCACCTTTACATCAATAAGTGTAGATCGAAGCTCTTTGATCCCCTCCCTACTGGAGTATACAGTGTCTCACAGATCATTCAACAATTGTTTCAGGAAAGGAGTACTCTCCCCATCATCATACCAATCCCAAAATCCTACAGATTCAGCACCTCCATTACAATTCAACATCAGAAAAGCACATGATTCAACTTGGTTTAAAATGTACTACCTCCGTTTCAGGTTATAAGACGTTTTGACTCTAGCCAAAGTCAAACTACTTTCACTTTGACTAATTCTATAGAAAAATGTAGTAATATTCACAACACCAACATATTTTCATTAAATCTATAATTGAATAAATTTTTATAATATATTAGTTTTGGGTTAAAAATATTACTACTTTTTTCTACAAAATTAGTCAAACTAACAATAGTTTAACTTTGACAAAAGTCAAAACATCTTATAACCTGAAACGGAGGGAGTACTAACCTGTCTATTCAGGTAAGCCAAATACCTCCTTCCAGGATGCAATTCACTCCAAGAGATCCACCTTGCTGCTTTCTCTTACATTTGCAGAACACGGTCGGCTCATATTCTAGCGGGCGCTCTCTGTCTGGCACTGGAGTTGGTCGACCCACATTGCCGCCTCCACTCGACGAACAAGTAGACCCTCGTGGCATGCTTAAGCTCTGTGGCATACCTGTGCTCTACCTGTCCCGTGCTTGCGCTTCGCCGTCGTGCGTGTGCCTCACCGCTACACTTTTGCCGCGCCGCCGCGGGTGTGCCGCACTACCGTGTGAGCGTCGTGCTTGCGCCACGCCGCTACACCACACAGTCCCACCTACGCTCCTTTCACCACGCCCCCACGCCGCCGTGCCGCCCAGCTCCGCTTGCGCTGCTAAGGTTAGGGGTTTGGGTTGGGGAATTTTCCACAGGAGAGAGAGAGGGAGGGGTATTTTTATGTTACTGCTACATTATTTACCATGTAGGTGTGTCATGTCAGATCAAACGGGTAAAACCAGCCAAAATTGGTCGTGGGGGGTTAAGTATCCGGATTAAATTGTTTAAGAGGGTATTATGTCTGGTATTATACTTTAGAGGGTAAATCGGACTTAACCCTTATATATATTCACCTTCAGGATCCTCTCTAGATAGTACATTTGGGGTTGGTCTGGGCTGCCAATATTTCCGGTACTATCATTTTGGGCCTAAAACCCAAATTAAACACCATTTCGGTCGGGGCAGCAAACCTGAATGGGCTCGCGAAACTCCAATTCCCCGAATGCATGCTCGCTGGCATCAGTCCATAACGTTCTGTTCCATATGCCGCGACAATATTCCCATCGTTGAGCCGATTGTGTGTCCGTGGGCGCACCAGATGAATAGGCCGGTAACGTTGACCGGCCATCACGCATGTACGTAGTTTATCACATACGTAGGGCCGCTGCCTGGTAGGCGTACTAGCATGGGTACATGAGCATCGGGGCCTGCATGTCACACAGTGCCTACGGACGACGGTCTACGGCTGCAGTGACCGACAAAATCGATCGATACGGAATTCAGTGCGCGGTGCGCCGCTACCGGCACGTACGTTGAAGCATCAGCGACGCAGGCACGCAGCACCGGCATGGTCGGTGCGTGCATGCCAGGCTCCCCCTACCTTTCCACTCTATATGTTAGGCCCTGTTTAGTTCCACATAAAAATTTTACATCATGTCACATCAAAACGTTTAACACATATATAAATATTAAATATAGACTAAAAATAAGTAATTACACAGAATATAACTATTTTGCGAGACAAATTTTTTAAACAATGTGGTGCTACAGTAATAACGGATTAATTATGCTTAATAAATTCGCACTGCTAATGTACTGCTCTATTTTTCGTGCGCATGTGTTTCCGATACACAGCAACGAACGCAGCCTAAATTTTTCATACCGTTTTTCAACCATTTACCATTTATGTTATATATCAAATTTATTTTTCTAATTTTTTTTGTATTGATATCGATACAACGTGATTTAAATGATAAATATGATCGATCGTCCACCGTTTGAGCGTCATTTTCCAAAAGATACTATCGATTCCAATCCTTTCTGATCGTTTTCACCACGCCTACGCCTACGACTACCCGCGCGCGCGGTCCAGGCAAAAAAACCATGGGCCATCCCGTGCATGCAGCCTGGCAAGCAGTCATGCTGGGCCTTCTTCCGTCGGGGGACTCTCCCCCCCACGCAACATGCGTGCGCACATGAGACCCATCACCACACCACCGTACCGCCACGAGACCCAGCCACGACGACGACCACGGGAATTCCAGCAACTGTGTGCTCTCCTCTGCTCTTTTTCCGCCCCCCGACCCCCCTCTCCACCCTTTTCCCGAGACCCTAGATATTCGAGAAGACGAAGAAGAATCACCGGTAATCACGACCGGGTATGGGTATGATGATGAATGAGAGGCGGCAGGATTTCCCTTTCGGTTGGCCCCTAGCTTCTCTGCTCTCCCCATCCCACTCGCCCGCCTTTTCTCTGGACCAAGACGTACCATGAAATTGCGTTGCGAATAGGGCTTGAGAAAAAAAGGTTATAATATTTGCTTGATGTTGGTTAGGATCATAGATACGGTGTGCGCCTGCTACGTGGCAGGAGTTGTTAAACAATTACCGCGCGAATGAGTCAACATGCAGGTACGTGCGGTGAGTAGTGAGCGTTTTCACTTTCACATTGCGTCTGAAGTAATCAGGGGATGTTTGATTAAGTGTCACCCGTTACCACATCACACATTAGACATATCACAAATTATTAGCTTAGTATTTGGTTGCTTGTTTCAGTTGCGACAAGTCAAGCCAAACATTTCACACTTGTGGCTAACAAATTGTTGGCCACATTTTATTTGTTATTCTACACCTATAGCAAATTGAGTTGTGGCAATGTTAGGCAACAACCAAACAAACACTTAACCTACTTAGTGTATGTACAATGGTATTTATTAGCAGTCTCTCTTTATTGTCATGCAAGTATATTTGGTGGCGTGGAAGAGAGAGGAAGAAGGAAAGAGAAAGATGGTTGCTACGCATGACAACGGTATAGAGTCGACTCTTACAATTTATTAGGAAATTTTTCGTTGCATTGAGTCTAATAAAGGAAAGATGACTAGTAATAAAGTATTTTGGTATATTAATAGTTAGAAACCGTATTGTTTTAACTATGATAGTGTCTAGTTAACATATAGCCCTAAACGGTCCATGAAATACTCGATCCATTCCCGTAATTAACCACTTCTGTACTTGGAAATGGAATGGGAAACAGGTAACACCAGAAATGTAAACAATATCACCATAAAATTGAAAGATATCACTAGCGGAACTATCAAACTATAAAACCTCAGAAACATCTATCACACCATAATGGAAAGCAAACCACATTAAATTTGATATACAGTTCGATCTTAATTCTTAAATTATAGAGACAGCTTGCTCTCTATGCTTGGTTTGTACTATCAGACTCCATGCAGTAGCGTGTCAATGACGCACGGTAGGTTCTCAAAGTCAAAATTTTCACCGCAGAAGTGAACTTTTTTTGCTGCTTTGATGGAGCTGTGGAAGACTGGAAGTGGACTACTACCTCTGCAGCCACGAACACCGGTGGGCGCCACCCGTCCAGCATCACTTGCGAGACCGACAAGCGATTGGTCCGTCGCGTTGGCGTAAATTCCCATCCACCCCCCGTCCCCACGTGGCGCGCGCCGGCGCCACGACAAATCGTGGCCGTCCGTCCCCGCACAGCGGTTTTCCCCGCGAAAAGGCGGGCGCCCGAGACCACGCGCGCGCGAGGGAGAGAGAACGAAACGAACCAACCGAAACGCTATGGATTTCCTACCTCCCGCTTGGCTTCTCCTCGAATCCGATAGCTGGGAAACGGAGAGACCGGGGAGGAAAAAGTACACGCGGTTCTTGGAATCCACCGGTATTTTTGATCCATCCATCCACTTCTCCACCGTCTCCATGGCTGTCCTGTCCGGCCCCTGGTTTTTGCTGCTGACTTATATTAATATTGGTACGCGTCGTCTCCTTCCTTCGTCTCGCTCGCTGCTCCTCCTTATCCGGCTTCCTCTGTCCCCCCGCCGCACCTTGTTTCTTGGCCCGGTTCGTCGCCGGTGACGGTGGAATTGAAAGCGGCGGCGGCGGCGGTCTGGTTCTTCTTGATGCGAGGCTAGCTGACGTTTTTTTTTTGGTTGGCTTCTCGATCGTTGGAGGGGTGTTTTTTTGGTCGGAGAAAGCGCGACGACGTGGTTGAATTGCTCCGGTGAGTGTGTTGTGTTTGAGCTGCCGATGAAGGTGGCGGTGGATCAGGGGAGCAGCGGATCGGTGGAGGCGAAGAGGAGGAGGGAGGCGAAGGGGAGGAGGAGGTCAGGTGGCGGCGGCGGCGGTGGTGGCGGTGGAGGTGGAGGTGGAGGCGCCGTGGTGCGGCGCACGAGGAGGCGCGTGCTGCTGCGGACGCCGGAGCCGGCGCCTCTGCTCAAGCGGCTTTTCGCGGCGTGCCGCGACGTGTTCCGTGGCCCCGGCACCGTGCCGGCGCCCGACGACGTCGCCCTCATCCGCGGCATCCTCGGTACGTAGGCGCCGCAGCCGCCGCCGCTCGCCGCCGCATTGCGTTACTCGAGCTCGCCTTCGCTAACGTTGAACTAACCTGACCTCGATCTCTTGCAGACAAGATAGGCCCCGGAGACGTGAACCTGAGCGCGGAGCACAACTTCTTCAAGGCCACCGACGCCGCCGCGCTGCCGCACCCTCTCGCCATCACGCGGACCACCATCTACACATGCACCAACTTCTCGGTACGAAACTCTCATCACCAGCTCGTGACGAGCTGATCGAAACCGACGTGATTCAATTTGCAGTCGGAATGCACAACAAACGTACACCGAACCTAGTGAAACTGACACGTTTTGTGTGTGTGTTCCTTATCAATCGCAGATAGTGATATTCTTCCTGCCCCCAACGGCGGTCATCCCTCTCCACAACCACCCGGGGATGACCGTGTTCAGCAAGCTGCTCCTCGGCTCGCTCCACATCAAGTCCTACGACTGGGCCGAGCCCGCCGTCTTCGCCGCCGGCTCCGGCGATCGCCGTAAGCTCTCCACTCTTAAATGCTACTCGTCTCCATCCAAATTTTCAAAATTCGCTAGCGAATAACGCGTGACGTGATTTGTGATTTCTCTCTTTTGCAGTGAGGCTGGCGGAGGTGGTGCGCGACGGCGGGTTCAGCGCGCCGAGCGACACGCTGGTGCTGTACCCGGCGGCCGGCGGCAACATGCACCAGTTCACGGCGGCGACGCCGTGCGCGCTCCTCGACGTCCTCGGACCTCCGTACTCCGAGGACCGGGACTGCACCTACTACCAGGACTTCCCCTACTCCCACTGCCCAAGTACGCGCGCGAGCGAGCCACCACCACCACCACTCCACTGAATTTCTCTGCAATAGCGAGCTGACCATGCATGCCATGTGTGTACAGGTGACGACATTGCAGAGCTGCGTCGCCATGGCGGCGGCATGGACGACGAGCAGATCAGCAGGATGCGGCAGCTGGGGTGGCTGAAGGAGACGGCCATGCCCAAGGACCTGGAGATGTACGAGATGCCGTACAGAGGCCCGCCCATCCTGTAGAACGTAATTAGTACAATCCGCAGAGGCATTAATTGCAGGAGCAGTTTCATGCGGTGCCTCTCGATCTCAAAGTCTTGATCTCATAGATTTTCCGTAGCGAGGCGGTAATTAGTGCTGTCTCGATCGATCTGATCTTCTTCATTTCGATGATCAAAACTCTGCTCAGGTTAATTACTTTCTTGCGCCGGTGCGTGTGGGTACATATTGACAAAGCGTGTGTGAGTGTGTGCAAAATGCATGTCTCGATCCATCGTACTTGTGTTCTCTTTTTGATGGTTAATAGAAGATCACCAGTGATGGTTGATAGATTAAATCAGGGTTTTAACCGGTCATTAATGATTGACACACGGATTTAATTAGTTTTACTGGCCCGGGCCGGGAGTCACAGTGGTTGCCGTTAGGTGGTCGAGTCTTTGGTGCTCACAAGTTGGGTGCAATCTTGTCGTCTCTTGGAATCCTGCTCGCAGTTTTGAACTTCTACCCCTTGTTTGAAACCAAATTTTCTACAAACTCTCGAAGCGAAACGATTTGGTCATGAGTTTGGCCCCCGGCCATGTTGAACCGTTCAAGAAACGGCCATGTTGTTCTTCCGACGAATAATAAACATGTAATAGTCCGTACCGTACATAAGCCTATTTGTTAATACGCAGTATTTAAAAATAAGGCATGTAGTGTGGCTGCTTAATTATAGCTAGCTAATGCAATTAACTAAGAAAACCCTCCGGTGCGATCGAGTCGTTTGGGCTTTAACAAAATCACGCTGCGCAAATTAAGCAAGTGGTGAGCCGTCACCGGTCACGTGGTAGTAAGTAATAGCAGTACGCCAGTACGTCGAGACCGGCACAGTAGCACACCGTTTTGGCTGGGCTGGGGGGGGGGGGGGGGGCGCTCGTTGGATTACTGGATTTTGTGAGGTGGATGAATCTAGCCACGAAAAAACAGCATGCGGAGCAGCAGGAGAGGGGAGGCCAAGTGGTTCGAATTCGACGGACCAACGTACTATAGCAGGAGCAGGGTGGCTTTGTCTGCTGCTTCCGTTGTCCGGATCACGTAGACACGTAGGCATGGGATTAGTAAAGTGCATGGTGGCTTGGGCTCTCTCTCTCTCTTTTTTTTACTCTTTTTCTCACTGGAATTGGCAGCTCCGTAGTTCCGGAATTGGTAAAACCACGTGCGGGCATGCGGGCCCTGCCTACCCACCTGAAGCGGGATTGGCCCCCTTTTTTGTTCACATGCCCGGCCCACAAGGTTACTTAAAATGTTTAGCCCGGCTTGGCTAGGACCTATCCATCTTAACTACTACTCCTCCTTAGCCTCTCCAAACACCGAGAGCTTTGCTGTAAGGATGTAACGGGTTAATCCGCTAACCCGTTCGTTTTTATCTATAAATGAGTTTGTGGATTAGCCATTTTAGGTTGAGTTCGTTTCTCATGGTCCCAACTCTCGTTCCTCTTTTTTCACGTGCACGCTTTTCATACTGTTAAACGGTGTTTTTTTTCTAAAAAAATTATATGAAAGTTGCTTTAAAAAATTATATTAATCCATTTTCAAGTTTTTTTAGCTAATGAACTGCTCCGTTTTATGTGCCGGAAGGGAGCGTTCCCAACCAATACAAACGAATACAGCCTTAGGGCAATTATTATAATGCTCCATATGCTACCCCTAAGAGTACCACGTTGGATTGAGTATTTGAGTGATGAGGCGGAGGAGAGAAATGATGAGCCACCCCTAAGAGCAAGGTTAATAGTATAGCCGATTGCCAACTACAGTTCATTTTATAGCTAATGCTGAAGCCAACTACTCATACAATAGGTTGCCTGTTGGCTAGCTACATCTCATAAATCAAATAATTATTTATAACTAGCACAAATCAATGCGTATGATCAAGAGTGAAGTGGATCATTGTAGCTAATTTTGTTGTGACATTAACATTTATATGCTATAGAATTAATCACAAAACACCACATAGTTCACACTTCACACACTTCCTTGAGGACCAGTAGAGCTCATGACGGCCTGAGGAGGCGGCGTCATCTCCCTCTTCTTCCGATGAGACATGGTGTTGGTGGTGGGGAATTAGGGTTTTAGGCAGGAATTTCTCGTGGGGGCGGGAGAGATTATACAAGGTGGAAGAGGAGCGGGGTTGTGGTCGAGGTGGCCATCAATTTGGTGGCCGGCGAAAGAAGGAGATCGGAAGCGTTGAAATATTGCGATGGGGAATTTTGGAGCGACTGGATTTGTCATATAGATAGATAGTTTCGCGAGCGCGGGAAGGAGAGAAGCGCGGGAGCCGGAGGGAGAGATTGCGCCATCGGAAGAGAAATCGTTGAGGTGGTCTCACGCGCTGAGAATTGATTGTGCGGGGGGGGGGGGGGGCGGTGATCGAGAGGAAGGGGATCGAGAGGGCGATGCGGAGGGGTAGCGTGATCCGCAATGGTTGTGCGGGCCCCACAATGTGTGTTTTTAATCGCCGGGAGTGGCTACAAGCGAGCGATACCGACTAAAAAAATCTCTATCGCCGGGCTACAAATTAGTCGGTCGTTTTATTCTCTCCCCTCCACATAGGAATTTGATGATGTGGCGTAGTTTTGCAATTCACTGAGTCAACTTATTGTACCTGCTCTAAATCAAGAGACAACCTCCGTACAAATTTCAAGAAGGGTGTGAGAGTATTATAGATATTGGTATTTGTGTACTAGGGTAACATAATGTATGGGTTGTCTCTTAGCTCATGAGTGAATAATATGGATAAATTTAGAGGTGGTAGTCATATCTACCATAGCATTTGCCCTTACACTCTTAACGAGCCGCGATGCTATAGTGTCATATCATCAATTTTGTACAAAGACCCTTATGTTTTATATCATCCATGAACCGGTTTCCGCTGTGGTGTAGCAAATTTAATAGTAGAGTACTTAACTACTAACTATAAACATATATATTAGAGCTAGCTTATATAATGGAGTAGATGTATAAGTTTGTTTCTATATATTTTCTTTTCTTCTCTTTCTCTAATCTATGTACTTAGAGCATATGAAGAGCTAACTCTTGTATGAGAATCTACACTTCTTTTTCTCTTTTATCCACGTACGTTTATGGTTGATTTATTTTGCTATTGTATTTGATCTTATGTTCTATTTCTCCTATTGAGGTTTTCGCTGCGGGGTTTGTTTGGACTCGTGCTATTATGCTAGAAAAGGGACTAAAAGGACTAATGCATTTTTTTTAACTATGTATGTAAGTCATATATACTCCATACGTAAAGCATGGAGGGAGTATATACTTTTAAAAAACATGACATGAAAAATGCTAAAGAGGTAGTAGTAAAAAGAAAGGATGCATATATGAAGTGGAGCTTGAGTAGGTGAATTGGAGGTGAAGGTCAAATAGCTACATTTCTGTTTCTTCAGTTTAAACCTGTTTCTTCAGTTTTGACACGCACCACGCTGCAAGCTTGAAATAACCTACTCCTAGTTGACGCCAAACAGCACAGTGCCTCTGAAAATTAAAAATTAAAAATTAAAAAGAGATAACCGAGTAAGGCAGAGTGTGAAGCAGTGGGCGTGTGATGAACTGATGATTTTGTTTCTTTCAACTTGCACATATAGTTGAGGTATACTTGCTACTAGTACTAGAATGAAACAAATGTAAGTTTGTGCTCAAACCGTACTCCAGTTATATAAAAGAGGAAAAGGAAAGGAAGATCATTAAGCATACTATGTTTGTACAGAATGAACTAGAATCCGCAGACAGTAACCCTATCAGTTTTTCTGTACATGTGCAGTATATATATCTGCACCGACCATAGGATACACTTGAATCAGAATTATAGTGATAGACTTACTGTGATGTGCATACAGAAAAGAATTTGATCCACATAGACATAGTGGCATATATACTGGCATGCCGGAAACCCGCGTTGAAAAAGAAAAGCAGCTTTTATGCCCCCCCAGAGAAAGCCCTTGTAACGCTAGTTACCAATCAGAGTTGAGCATGAACAAAAAGGGGATCCAATCTCTTGCCATTCAGTTGTTGATATATCCTCAGAACTACCACTTGTCTCAACTGTCAACTTCCAAACACAAATATGCTGTTTCCGACACACTGCAGCACTAATGCGTCCACCGCCAAAACACAAACATCACCACCACTGTGATCATCATACCAGCATATGCAATCCACTTGTCCACACGGTGCCGCCTCTCAATAAGCTTCAAAACAGAATTTGATAGACCAACGGTGTTCAGAATATCCAACGCTTTCCTTTGAGCACTCTGCAATGCAGGAATTACTATTAATAACAATCATAAATAATTAGACAGTCAAAAGCTAAGAAGATTAACCATGCAAGTTAAAACTGATGTTTCATGGTGAAGATTAATGGGATATGCTTTACCTTTAGACGATCCCTCTGGTCAGCATACTTGTGAAGGATAGCTACTCCTGTTTCATATGCTTCATCAAGCATACGAGAGGAGCTACGAGCTGATTGCATTGCCTGGGCTTCATCATCAAATATCCGAAGGACATGTGAAGACTCACCATTCTGCAAGGATAATTTCCAATTCTTTAATCGAACAATGAAATTAGATTGCAAAAAAGAAACTTCTAGCTTTGTTCGAAGGATTTCTTACAGCTCTCTCAAATAGCTCTGCCCTTTCTTTTGCTTCTAGAACCCTCTTTTTTTGCCGCAGAGAATGTCTGTCAAGGGTTTCCTTTAGCGAATCAACCTCTTCAGACAACTGCTCCACTTTTCTGTCAGGATAACACAAAAGCACAAAACAATGTCATAACATTGAAACAACAAGCCTACAGGATTCATGTTTGGCAATAGTATTAATAATTGCACAAACCCCAGGTTTCTATGCGCAACCAGAAAAATAGAACTCATATTCAGAGCATCAAATGTCAGGATCCTCAGCAGGCGCCTTGCGCGATGCAAGAAACCTAGCTCTTTAAGCATAGCATTCAAAAGGCAGAGGCCAAAATGAAGAAAATTTTAAAAGGGACGCTGATTCCTTAATAAGTCTCGAATTGAGCTTTCCATCTGGAAAATGTAACAGGGTAGCCCTCCTGATAATAACAAGGTTTCTGATGAAGTTCACAATTGTCAGTACAAACAATTAAGGCAACCCTGTTATGGACAACCATGAAGAATTGTTTTACAGGCTTTAGAATATCAACGTTATATAAATTCTATTTCTAAAAAATAGATAAATTAAATGCAAATCTTCACAAAATAAAGAAATACGAACCAATAGGACAAGCTAGTTGAACAAGCTAATTAGAACAATATCCTCTACACCAACCAAAGAAGAATGTGTAATTGTAGATCCAACTAGGCCTTACTTCGGAGCCCATATCCCAACAGGGATCACGGCTTAGTTCCCACTGGCCACTGGTCCGAAGTCTGTGTAATTCTACATCCAACTAGGCCTTACTTCAGAGCCCATATTCCAACAGGGATCACAGCTTAGTCCCCACCGGTCCAGTTCATTTTGGTTAGGGGTTAGGCCAGGATCACAAGTTCACAACCTAGTCCCCACTGGTTTAGTTCATTTGGCAGGGGTTAGGCTGGGATAGAGCCTAATCCCTGCTAGCTCAGTTCATTTTGGCAGGACTTGGGCAGGGATTCCAGCCTAATCTCCGCCAGCTCAGTTCATTTTGGCAGGGCTGCAGGATCCCGGCTAGGATATTGGATCCCAAACAGGCTGATGGCTATGGCCTGAAATTCCATGGTTACCACAAACATAAAAAGACGAGCTTCTGAACTAATCCGTGGTGATAACACAAGAAACAGATGCTTGCTGCTACTGCGAACTCCTAACATGAATGACAAAATATGATCAACCTATTAAATATTTCAAAGAAATGTTTTGCGGATGAGCACAACGAAGAACATAATCCAATGATCAAGTATAGGTCAAGCACTACAGGAACAGCTCACATTGGTGAAGAAAATATTGCTCTGACAAAATTCAAGGTAAAGTACTCAAGTGGCACTATCTAGTAAAAAACAAGACTCAAGGATGCGAAATGATAGCATTTCAGTTGCACTAGGAAGGTAAAAAATATGACAGAGAGCTAATGAGTTAGAAACATATAATAGAAATGAACACTAGCAATTTCTAGCTGCTAAGTTGGTCATGTCAATTCTTGTAAACCTAAGCTTAATTCCCTAATACAAAATATGAGATTCAAACAATCAAAGTATTTCTGTTTGCGGGCTAATTTATGAAATAATCACTGGTCAGTGTAATATTACACAAATTCATATACTACTTGTATGTTGCAGAGTTGCCTCTAACAGCATTTGCATTTAAGTACAGCTCCAGTAGGATGCAATAAAGCAACTGTCCTTTTCAGCTTAACCTTTATTTTAGCGGTTTGATTGCATAGGTAGTGGACTAGTGGCTGTTCTGGTATTGGGGGCATTAATTCCTTAACCAGCTCGAAATGTCTCTGATACGAAAATAAAGTTGATGATGGAAGATTATTAGCTAGCATGTGCAGGTTAGCTGGTAGGTTCAATCAAAGTACTCTGTTAATGCTTATTCATGTCCTCTTTGCCCCTATCAATCATCAAGATGCATATGCTCCAATTTGAGAAAGACTATTTTGTAGCAAGATTTTTTGTTGATATTCTAATGTATTTGAGGCTCCTGCAAGCAACAGACAGAATGAGAGATATTACCCAATGACAGCATCTCTAGCCATGCCATTAATCTCACCATTCAATTCCTTACCAAACATACGAATATACGATTACTCAAACAGGCCAAAAGACGATGTGCACGGAAAGCAACTGATAATGGCAAACTAAATAGATAACTGGCATTTGAGACAACCACTAAAAGCATAAAAACTATGAATAAGTTTAATGGGCCAATTAAACTACCAAAACATTCCCCCCATGCATATTGAACAACTTGAGTTCCATTTCATAAGAGTGATACTCCAGACTACCATGTAAACCTTAAGCCGGTATAGACCAACAGTCTGCATACAATTTGCACAAAAAGCACGACAGCAAGCTAAACTACATCAGTTTGAACAAACAAGAAGCACAATACAGAGTACAAATTAAACTTCTAGGATCGGAATCATCATTTGACATTAAGAGTCGCAATCAAGCAACCGACTAGCAAATTTGTCATCATATTTACCCGCAAATTTGCCTACGGAATAGAACAATCACAATACGAGAATACAGTGATCTGCGCTACACCAACAGCCGAAGCACGGAAAGATCTCTCTAACCTCAACGCCAATTCACCCCTCCTCCGCATGCCGAAAAGAGATTTAGGGATTTGAGGGCGCCCCTTACCTCTTCCAGAGATCACGCTGGCCCTTGGCGGGGATGGATCGCCAGAGCCGGTCCATCTGCGCGCACAGCCCCTGGATCTGGGCCACCTCCCGCCGCACCTCCTCGGCGGCTGCCGAATCCCCGGCACCGCCGCCGCCCCCGACGAGCGGCGCCGAGGAGTAGGAAGACGAGGTGGGCGCCGACGCGAGGCGCTCGACGCGGGCCACGCCGTCCCGGGCCGAGAGCAGCAGCCGCCGCGCGCTCTGGTACATCTCCGACAGCGTCGCGCCGCCGCCGCCGCCTCCGCCGCCGGAGAAATCCATCGCCGCGGTGGTCGGACTTGTCGCGCGAGCTCGGGATCGAGGAGGGGAGGATTAATTTCTTCTTTTTCTTAATTATTTTGGGTTTTTTTTTTGATCGGTTTGGAAGTTGTGAAGCTTGGAAGTAGAGACCGGAAGGTGGGCCCTGGGGTAACCTCCTGACGTGGATGTGACACGTGGCGGATCATGGTTGGTCCGTGATTTCACTGGACCTCAACATGAAGCTGCCTTTGCCTTCCACTCGAAGGCTCCGGAACGGTGAGTTGCTTTCCACCACTGAAGGCGTAATTTGTTCTCCGAAGACGTATTTCGTAGAGAGGAGGAGTAGTTGATGAAGATTTGCCGAAAGTGCAGGGGTATTTCCGGGAAAGTTTCTCCCTCAAATAAAGCTGCAAACAGCAAGCGAAGGGGGAAAGAAACAGTAGCGATCCTGCTGCCGCTGCCCTCCTCATCGTCCTCTGCTCGCTGCTCCTCGCTTTCCCCACCACCACCAATCCGCAAAACCCTACTCTCCTCGGGGGCTCTCCTCCTCCTCCTCCTCTGCGCCGCCATTTCGCCATGAGGTATTCATCCGTCCCTCCCCTACCCCTCCTCCCCTCTGGCCATGTGTTGGGGTTTTGGCCCTTTCTTGGGTTTTTCTTGGTTCTTGTACTTTTGCCCAATGGGAAGTGTGTTTCTTGGATTGCTGAGACTCGCGATGTGTCGCGGCTTCCTAGGATCTGAATCCGAATGTGTATTTCTGAATTGGTGGGTTGATCTTGTTTCTTGGCACCGAGATTGATAGGGCGTTAATTGTACTATGGATTGAATGGTACATATGTAGTTCGATTGGATGGTAGGATCAGGCGGATTATGTACTGCCTCAGTTGTTCTTATTTGGGGTAGTGTATCTAACAAGAATGTTGAAGTCGGTTCTTGTTATCTTAGAAATACAAAGGCTTGTGGGATTACTGCAAATGAGGATATGTAGTTACCCAGTATATAACTATATACTCAATTGTTAGTGGTTTCTTATAATGTTTATGATGTTTCATTGCTGGAATATCAAAGCAGGACGGCCATTTTTGATGTCCTGTAATCTAGAAAATAATGTCTACTGTTACATTGGAATGGATGCTAAAGTTAGTGAGACATGCTGACATCTGTCAAACAAGATGCACATAACATGCTAATAGAATATGCGTTTGGCAATTAACTAGTACCGTTGCTGTTTCTTGTCCTTTTTTATAGGCCAATAGCTTGAGATAAAGGTTTGGACTTAGCTATAATCTGTGCATCGTGACACGTGTGTTTATTGTAATCAATTGATGTATGTGTTTGATTTCTAGTACTTCTTAAGTTAAGTACCTATCAAAAAAATTTGTGAGTTAAGTATTATATATGTGTTCTTAGTGACTTAAAAGCCAATGCTGAAAAAGAAACTACATTTAAAATATCTTAAAATCAATTTCAAAATTAAGTTTGAGAATTCAAATTTTGGCTTTGGCTTTGGCTTCAGCCTATTAGGGCAACTGATGGGGCCATAACTGACTATAGTACTATAGCCATTCCATCACCCCCGCCCCCGCCCCCCCTCCTCTCTCCGTTCTCTGCAATCTGTTATCATGCAGTTCCCTGTGAGACAGTATCCTATTTACCATTAAGAGTAATGTATTCATGTATAGAGGGATAGAACTGTTATTTGTCGACACACCTTTTCTTGCCCTGTTTTCATTTCTCTACTATATCCTTGTAACTGACAAACTTTGCATTTATTTTTGTCTTATATGGCTGCACTTTCAATGGCATGCAGTCGTCAACCTGAGGTGCTGTGGGCTCAACGCTCTGAGAAGATTTACTTGACTATTTCACTGCCAGATGCTAAAGATGTAGTGCTGAAGACTGAACCTCAGGGCCTCTTTAGCTTCTTAGCTGTTGCTAATGGGGAACCATTTAGCTTCACTTTGGAGCTGTTTGATTCTGTACTGCCAGAGGTAAGTAGGAGTATTTGTGGATTTCAATTCTGGATTGAAATTTGGGCATGTACTAACTTTATTCACTTTCCACTTTTGGGTTGATCTTGCATGGATGAACTTAAAATGTTAATGAGATGATCATATAAGTAATATATATTTAATGTGTTGGCTGTTGCTTGGTCTTTATTCTTTAATGGAGCACATTTCATTTGTATGAAAGTAGGAATCCACACAATTCGTTGAATATGACTTCTATAAAAGATTTGAAAACATTTACTAATGCATGTTGTAAACTGTAGTATCACCAAAATAAGAAACTGAGCAAACAAATAAGTGAAGTCGATCACTGGATTTCTTTTTTCTTAGAGCTGCTAGCTGATGATAATAACTTCCCAGCCAATCTTGATGACATATATTATCAATCTTATTTTGAACTTTTAGTGGGCTAACTATCATTTTGCTTTGTATATAGGGAAGTAAAACTAAGACAAAGATGGGTTTGCGAAACATAATCTGTTCGATCCAGAAAGAAAAGAAAGGTTGGTGGAAGCGTTTGCTGAAGTCAGAAGAAAAGCATCCATATATCAAAGTTGACTGGAACAAATGGTGCGATGAGGATGAAGAGTCTGGTATGTGATAATGATATGCATACACAACTGCAAACGTTTTCATTCATGTGGAGTTTATCAGAAATAGATGACTGTAAAAGGAAAGTCAAAAGATACAACTAAGTAAGTTATATTGATATGTAGGATTCTGTAATAGCAGGGGCCTTGGCTTCAGTTTGTTTTCATCTAAATGCACCCTCATTCCGGATAGGTCGCAGAGTATATTGATTTTTAAAATAAGTTTCTCTTGTATATCTTTTTTGGTTGCACAAATTTATATATTTCTAATAAGGTTCTTTTATGGTGCAATCATCCAGATTATTTTATTAGTATTCACATAAATGTAGAGTTCATCGTATTTGTACTTTGGAGGACCACCCATTGTGCATGAGGGTCAAGTGCATAATATCTTCAATTTCACCGGTTGTGATGTATTATATGACAAGCATTTTTTTGTGAGAGTGTTTTTCTGTGTGCATGTTTTCCCTTTTTCGTTAAAGTGTTAAATATGCTGGAGAAATGCTCTGGAGTCTTGTCGTATTCTATTGCAAAATACTGCTCCTGCTTTTATTTCAGTCTCTAGTACTTCCTCGTTCAAAAAAAAAACGAGATTTGGAGGGAGAGACGTCCCTCCAAACATTCTTTTAAGAAGAAATTGTAAGTGTGCTGGGGATCGATCACGGGACCTTGGGGTTGAAACCACACACCCCTTGCCATTGCACTATCAAGTGCATCTCACTAATTCCTTGTTCAATGGAAATTTTGGATTCACTCACTTTATTTGCATTTTTTTAATCGCAATGGTGCATTCTTTGACCTATCTACTCACGTCTAACACACTATTCCTTACAGATGCACCAGTGGATTCAGATGATGCCTTTGATGAGGTATGAGCTCTTACCAAGCTTCTCCCCCCCCCCCCCCCCCCTCTCTTTCCAGAGTTCAGATGTAATGCTTTGGTTCTGGTACTCTTTTCTCTCTTCGCATTGTTGCAGGGAAATGACAGAGACGAAACTGATGATGATGATGATGGAATGCTTTGTGAGTACTAACTAGTCTTGTCCTTGAATATTAGTTTTTTTTTTCCTTGGATTTCTGTTTTGCGTCTTATCTGAATTTTAGACCTGATGTATTACTAAACATGGTCAAGACTTTACTATAATGTAGTACGTACTTTTCTTCTCATGGAAAGGCTAAGTTTATTTGAATTGATATGGCATCCGCATCTTGATCGGTTTTGTCCTTCGTTTATTGTTCTTATTTCCACCTTCTGCATAGTTCGGTGCCAACTTTGACACGAATTGAGACATTGTTGATCATTGGTGTCCATACACGTTTCAGGATTTTATCTGATCATATTTGCATAAACTAAGCAACGGCTGTAACATTTCAATACCTGCCTAGTCTTTTGTTTACTTCAAGTTGTCATCTGTCTGTCTATCTCATAATTCATGTCTATATGTTTGCAGATCTCCCTGACCTTGAAAAGCTAAGAGGCAAGTGATTAGCCAGCTTCGATGAATGCAGTAGACTTTCTGTAGCAAGTGACTGTTGACGCCACAAAGTAGACTTGTCATTGCTTAGTCGGTAGTTTCGCAAACATCTGCAGCTAGCACCAGAGTACCAGACTATTGGCATGGTTCTGATATGCTTGCGATGTCGTTTTTATCAGACTGATTACTCTTTGGTGACCACTGATCCAGCGTTTAGGGTATGTATTGTTTTGTTACCACTAATGAATGACCTAAGGCTAGTATGACTGACTTTGCAGCAGCTAGGATGTTATTATGCTTTTATGGATTCTGAGCACCTTCTCTCAGATTTGAGATCCAGCTTTTCTTATCATGGTATGAAGTATTGGCAGCAAAATCGAGCTATATAAAGCTTGAACAGTTTCTTCTTCAGCAGTTCATGGTCTATTAACGTTAATCTAGCACTGGTATCTGATTGTGGGCTTGTATCAGCAGTTCAGCAATCAGCACCATATGGTGGTCAACATGATGTGGGGTGCAGGCTCATTTTCTTCGATAAACTTTTGAGGATTTAGACATTGATCAGTTTTAGGTGATAGGGAACGCGTAAGTGCCAGATATACCGCACCTCATGTTAGTCAGCCATAACTGCTTCCATAGTTTAGCCTGCCAAAGAAAGTTAGGCAGCTTCTTTTTTTTTTTAGAATTACACAATATGCTTTGCCACATATTTTTGAGGCAAAGCTATGGCAAGGATTTCGTTCGCCACACTTTTAGCATGTGCTAACTTGAGGTGTGATAAGTTAAAATACCCAACTAAATAGGCCCGTACATATGCCATCTGAATCCAAATGGATACTGGTGTTTAATCATCTTTTATGACATACGCGCAGTATTTGTCCGGGAACTTTCATGGATCTGAAAAATAAATCTGATGTGGCGAATCGTGCGACACGGCGACGATGAATTGGTGCGAGTGACACACTGCATGTGCGGCTAACATGCCATTAGGAGGACTAGGACTCTAGGAGGATATCGTTCGTGCATTGCATGTCGACATTGCATCAGATTCCATGGTTCAATAATTGTCGAAATGTCAAAGCATGGTAGACGACGACGTCACCTTACTTTGGATGGTAGCCACGTATCGATATTCTGCTGCCTATTGGTGCTTTTACTCCAGCTTATTTGTGCTTGGCTGCTTGGCGAGGAATCGTCTCAATGCGAGCGGAGCCAATCACACGAAGCCTTCTTGCGATGAACATTGATATCTAACTTGGGAAAACAATAGCTTTCCTTGCTAGTCCCAGCGAAAATGATAGGGCAGCGGAGCATTTGGCCTTGTTTAGGCTGCGTTCTAGATAGGTTCGGAACGCTTGCCTCTTGCACAGAAAAAGGAGCGATCTATTAGCACGTGATTAATTAAGTATTAGCTTAAGATTTTTTTTTCAAAAATGGAACAATATGATTTTTTTAAAACAACTTTCGTATAGAAACTTTTTGCAAAAAACGCACCGAAATAGCAGTTTGAAAAGCGTGCGCGCAGAAATCGAGAATGAGAGATTGGGAACCTACGTAAACGAAACTGAGCCTTAAGTTCGTGAAAAGAAAATTTTTGGGTGTCACATTTGACCGGATGTCGAAAGTGGTTTTCGAACATGAATGAAAAAATTAATTTTATAACTCGTCTGGAAACTCGAGATAAATTTATTAAGCCTAATTAATCTGTCATTAGCATATATAGGTTACTGTAACACTTATGACTAATCATGGACTAATTAGACTCATAAGATTTGTCTTGCGATTTTCATGTAAATTGTGTAATTAGTTTTTTATTTTATCTATATTTAATGCTCTATGCATGTATTTAAAGATTCGATGTGGTGTTTTTAAAAAAATAAAATTGAGAAGTAAACAAGGCCTTACATTTGAGAAAGCTTCCATTGGAGCTAGCCGTGGAAGTCCAACCTGCAGGCTCAGGCTGCAGATCGCCCAAGGCGCACTTGCCTCCACGATGGCTTGTCCTCAACCGCTCGGAAGGCGAGATCCAATTGGCAATTTGTTCAACGCAGGGAGAGAGGAGGAGACTGGAACGGGATCATTGGACATTGGTTGATGAATTGCAATTTGGATGACGAGGCCGCGAGGGTCAGACCGTCGGAGAGTGAGATGATGGTTATACAAGTGTACTAGTAGGACGGACGGTGGCACCGGCCAGAAGCAGCAGATTTTGTGCAAACGTTGAGCCCGCAACACGTGGCCGGCATCGACCCGCTACGACGGACGCAGCGCCCCCCCCCCCCCCCCCCCCCCCCGCGGACCCACGCGGGCCGGCCGCGCTGTCGCCGTGCTGCCGACTACGCCGTCGAAATCAACGCGTCCGCCTCGATCCTCCCCTGCCGACGCTGTACAAGTGGCGACCAGAAAACACCATGTAGTATTTGATCTCGTCTAAGAGCAAGTTTAATACTATAGTCCACTATTAGCTCCAATTTATTTATAACTGATCTAATAGCCAATTCACACAATAATTGCTTACTATACTATTAATATATGGTCTCACATGTCATACACATATTCCGTCTTGGAGTTCGTGCTGCAGCTGGCTACAGATCTGTAGCCCGCTGCTCTTCTCTCTCAGAGCGAGTATAATAGTACAAACTGGACTGGCGATAGGAGAAACACGTCAGCTACAGTGTTGAGCTGGATGAGTGAGAAGAGGAGAGAGAGTGAGAGTGGGCGACAATTTTATCGCCGGCTCTAGCACCAGCTTCGAGAGAAAAGTGGTGAGCGCAGAGGTTGTGAGCTGCATGTGTGAGACGAAGCTTAAGTTATTTTATTATGATGTGAAGTTGATGGGTCCAGCGTTGCAGGTCATTTATTGTATTCACAAGATGCAAAGAGAGCTACTAGCTGAGTTGGATGGAATTAACGCCGGCTGTCTACGCTACTATTAACCTTGCTCTCATCTTTTATCTCATCAAAATATATTTATAGCTGGCTAATAGTCTGCTATCGTACCTGCTCTAATGCATACGTTTTTTCTCTCTGTGGCAAAACGGTTGGTGCGTTACACGGGGTGCACGAAGCCATGCATCACCCTGCTCAACCCGTCTCCTTTTTTAGCCTAATCTTTTCCTCCTTATCCGATGGGCCTTCCGTTTCTCAAGACACCCCCACACCGCCCCGGCCCTCTATAAATACCAACCACGACGAGCCAAGCGAACATCACCACAGCTAGATCATTAGCAATCCATTCCGATCCATCAAATTTCTCTTGAGACCGTAGAGAGAGAGAGAGGCGCCAACCATGGCCGGCATCATCCACAAGATCGAGGAGAAGCTCCACATGGGCGGAGGCGAGCACAAGAAGGAAGACGAGCACAAGAAGGAGGGGGAGCACCACAAGAAGGACGGGGAGCACAAGGAAGGCGTGGTGGAGAAGATCAAGGACAAGATCACCGGCGACCACGGCGACGGCGGCGAGCACAAGGAGAAGAAGGACAAGAAGAAGAAGAAGGAGAAGAAGCACGGCGAGGAGGGCCACCACCACGACGGCCACAGCAGCAGCAGCAGCGACAGCGACTGAGCCGCCGCGCCCCCACACCGGCGCCGTGCGTGCGTGCATGCAGGTAGTTGTTGTGCAAGAAATTGAAGATATCTTTCTTTTTTCTGTTTTGTTGCTTTGCTTTGTTGATTTTCTGGTTAGGATCTGAAAATGTTGGCGTGTGACTGACATGATGCTAATTAATCTCTCTTGTGATAATATGTTTTTTGTTTTGCAGGTGATGCTGCAGATGATTGGAGGAGTTCGTAGCAGGATTAATTAGTATCTGTGCAATACGTGATGCAGTGATCTGTCTCATGCATGTATCTGTGCTTGATTGCAAGAAAAAAAAAAGGCATGGTTTGCCTTTGTGATGTACTGATAATAATGGCTGCACGGTGCCTTGTAATAAGAACGCTAATTATGATGAAATTGATGTGTATTATCCTGGCGTCACCACGGTGCTTCAGATTCTTATGCTTTTCCGGTTTCTGTGGGTTATGATCCGTCTGAGTGTGGAAACTGTATGATGTGAACTTTATTTCTCCCCTTCTTAATTGAAATTAGTAGAGCTCCTGCCCTTTTTCGTAGAAAAAAAAAATCTGTCTGAGTCGATCACTAGCTTGGACCAAAACTTGTCTGAGGAGGTGTTTGGATCCAGAGACTTAACTTTAGTCCCTATATTTAGACACTAATTTAGAGTATTAAATATAGACTAGTTACAAAATAAATTACATAAATGAAAGCTAATTCGCGAGACAAATTTTTTAAGCCTAATTAATCCATAATTAAAGAATGTTTATTTAGTATCACATAGGCTAATCATAGATTAATTAGGCTTAAAAGATTCTCGCGAATTAGTCCAAGATTATGGATGTGTTTTATTAATAGTCTATATTTAATATTTATAATTAGTGTCCAAACATCCGATGCGATAGGGACTTAAAAGTTTACTTTTAATCCCATCTAAACAGGGCCGGAGGCTTTGAGCTCAGAGTTGGACAGTACTGATTGTTTTTTCCATGCGTTTTCTCAACTTCTATTAGGACATGTTCGGGTAGGGACGAGTATGATCTCTTAAACAATACAAGATTATTTATAAACGTGTCTTTACTATAGTTGAGACGACAAAGGCTCTAATCATTAACTCAAAAAATATTCCTTTTGTTAATATTCTTTCCTTTTTTTTTCCTCATGCAACCATATTTTCATATTATAGTGATAAAGAGTCATTGTTAAGCCGTTGTTATACATAACTGTTAACTGTTTTGTCTCTCCTCTCTCTTTCTTCTATATCAGCAAGTATTCCTAATTAGCAACGCTAAGAGACCACTATTGACAACCATTGTACATACCCTTAAGGTCATACCCAAATTCAATCTCATTCCTCCTTTGTCATGGTCTATCTGAGAGGATCAATTCAGGATTTGATTGATGACTAAACTTATGATAGTTTCTAAAGTTGGATCGCTGTTGAACAAAGCGCGCACTACTACTGTATGGAATTCTAGAGCTGTTAAACTAGGAATGTAATCTTATGTTTTGTCATTAATAAAATCTCTCTTTACGGTCAATAAAAAAAAGCGCGCACTACTACTGTATGCCATTAATAAAATCTCTCTTTACGGTCAATAAAAAAAAAAGCGCGTACTACTACTGTATGGAATCCAATTCCGTTGCACAACAATAACTGCGAAATCGACGGTGACCATGAAGACGGTAGCGTGCAGCTGCAATCCGAATATATGAGATACAGCTAGCGCAGGTGCAACGACGACGGACATGATGATATATGGGCAGCTGCCTCTGCCCTATGGCAGCCTCCACCGGCGCCAGCCACCTCCATCGGCTCTAGCGGCAGCTCCATTGACAAGACGACGGGAAGGGTTCGAGTTGACAAATATAATTATAATATAATCGTAGTGCAATTACACTGTAACTTACATGTAAGTTTCACATAATTTTGAATCGTTAGATCTATTACAATATTTGTTTTCCTCAACTTACATGTAAGTTTCACATAATTTTGAATCGTTAAATCTATTACAAGATTTGTTTTGGTGAGGAAAAAAACAAATCATAGCACACACATATGTGAAAGAATTTGTTCCCACGACCTCCATTTTACCAAAATAACATGTTACGGAGATTTTTGAAAGTTACATACAAGTTACACTATAGTTACAGTGTAATTACATGCAAGTTACAGTGTAATTACACTACGATTGTACTGTAATTACATTTATTAAATTTTGGGGGAAAAATTTATCGACAAATATATAGCAAAATCGTTCGACAATGGCAAGAGGATGAGGGAGCCAACAAATCCCTGTTCCGGCCCATCTGAAATGGGCCGGAAGTTTGTCTCGGTCCAGTTCTAGCCCATATAATATGGGCCGCACGTACCTCACAGCCCCGGTCCGGCAGCTCAGATATTTTGGCCCGCCAAGTTCCGCAGCTATCCCGTCCTCCGTCAATTCGTCCGTTCCTGCCGGCGGCGGCGGCGGCGGCGGCGGGCGGCGCCATCATCGCGGCCGTTACGGGAGGGCGAGGCGCGATTGTGCTCGAATCAGATGTGACATTTGGAGCGTTCGCTCTTCGCTGCACACGAGGTGTGCAGAACAGCTGCAGGGTGTGTGCAACCAGGCAGCAAGATCTCGGTCGCACAGACTGTTTCTGTTTCATTCCAAATGTAACGCGTCCGTGCATTATAGGCAGCAAACGTCATCACCATCCCTTTTCATCTGAGATCCTCGCCAATCATTGCTCACATCATTGATTTGCACTAAGCTAACGCGCAGCAACACTGAGTACTCGAATAGCTTTGCTTGAACATGGCATGACTGTCTCCTCTCCTAATGGTCATGTATTTGGGTTGGTTTTGGTTGGTACTTGGTAGATTGTGAAGCAAACATGCCCTCTTCGCTTAGATAACTAAAGGACAAATTCAGATGTTCCTCCATTCAGTTATGTGAGTAGAGACTAGATTAGGCAATATTTAGTTCCTCCAAAATAGCAAAAGTTTTACTGTTTTGGAGTATTTTGTTTTATAAAAATGGATCTAAACACTAGCAGCAAAAGTTGGCAATTTAACATTTGTCATTTGAGAGTTTAGAGTAGTAAATTTTACCAAAAAAAACGTTGGGAGCCATGCTCTCTCCATCTTTACTAGTAAAATAGTAAAACTTTACCATCCATCTAAACACCAGTTAGCAAAACTTCAATGCCAAATTTTTTGCCACTAAAACTTTTGCCAAAAAAATTTGCCACAGCAAATTGATCTAAACAGGCCCTTAATCAATTTTTTTTCGAACGGCCAAACAGGTTGATTGGCGTTATATTAATAGAAGGAGATTAAGAACACCGCAAAAGCTAAAGAAAAAAAATGAAAAACTGTACATTGCTGACTGCAAACATGCTTGCATGTCAGACCACCTTGCACCTCATGGCAACAATCTCGCAACGTGCTTTGAGCCGGCCAAACTCCAACAGCCCAACTCGTCCTGAATTTGGTTGATTATTTGATGGGTTGTCGCATCCTTGCCTCTGAAGATTCTCTCATTTCTTTCTCTCCATATTTCCCAAGCAACTAGCAGGAAGACTGATTTGAGCCCTTTGTGTTTTGTTGCTTCTGGATCGCTCGTTCCTTGTGTCCACCAATCCAACAGATCCCTGCTAGTGCTCTACCTTGGGATGATGTGCCCTTGTCATAGCCAATGGAGCACGCCAAACCAAACTTGCTTCGAGACTAGGCATTCGAATAGCAGATGATTGATGGCTTCAAGGTTTCGAAAACATAACTGATAATAACTGATAGAATTAGTTGTTTCGCCACCCCTGATTTACAACCCATCTGCTGTCCAGAAGGAGAGTAATCAGTTTTTCGCCAGGTGGTAAGTTCAGAAAACATTGCCTGAGCTAGTTCATAAATGGAGTGAAGATAGCTGTACCTGTACACACTACGCAGATCGATGTTTCTTTAGCAAGATGAGCACAGCTATGATGCGGCTTAAACTGACCATGACCACACAATGATTAGGAGAGATCCAGAAACAGCGACGTATATATACATGTGCTGTGCAGTTAACTATACTTAGCTGTAATGCTAAGCATGGTACGGCCAGCACTAAGCTGCAATCGACCAAGCATTTAGTAACAGTTAGCAGCTGCCTGAAAGTCTTCTGCATGTCAGTACTCCGCAAGTACAGATATACGGAACGCCCATCCAGTTCAGTACGCTCCAGTGATCCAATCACAATACTTGATAGCACCGCTGACAGGGAAAGATATGCAGAAAAAATAAGCCTCTGGTAGAGTCCATATGTCTGAATATGTGGGCAGTTTGATCTCAACGTCAGTGTGAATGTGTGATGGCATGCAGCGTGGGGAAATCAAGCATAGTTTAGGCTCCATAGCCTGATAGCCAGCAGATGACTGTTTCTGAGTTGTGCTGGGGGTCAATTCTTTAATTCAAGTCTTTCTTGTTCTTGATGTCATGCTCTAGTTGTTATAGACCTAGACTCAGTAAGTTTGCTCTTGTCATTCATGGTTAGTTAAACTTGGGAATTCTTTAGTGATCACTCTTAAGGTCAGATTAGAATTGAGATTGTGTGCACCAGAAAGAAACACGGCAAGAGATTGCATGATGCATTGCAGAAGTAAATTAAAAGACAAAACTGGAAGTACAACAATATCCTTAAATCTTAACCATTGCGTGTTCGAAAAATAAATAAATAAGTTGCAGCCGATTAAGGGTTCAAAAACTTATATGAACGAAAGTTGGCGTACTACCGGAAGGAATGTGTGGACGGAGTCACCACTCAGCGGTAGTAGTAACTCTGGCCTCTTAAGACTCTAGCTAGATTTCAGCAGAAAGAACAAAGAACCATTTCTTTAGTAAGAGCAATCCAAGCAATGTAGTAACTGGAATCACAGGAGAATATGTAATGCATGCAACAATGACATGATAAATTGTACTTACCTGTCCCAGAACTAGGATTGTACTTGAACATAACACTAATGGATAAACTACAAGTAGTGAACAAGCCAACAAAAACCTTTTTTATATAAAAATCGGAACAAGCCAATAACTTCACCTTGTAAACGCAACAGCGAAGGAAGATGCAAACAAAGAGCATTAGCACCATCAAATATTTCCCCAACTCTGAATATCAAACGCTGGTGACACAAGCAACGCGTTTAGCGTTTTCAGTAAGTACCATTACATGATCTGTCTATGTGATATGCAGATGTTCAAGATGTTAGAGGTCGCGATTCACCTGTCCATATTGTTGGAGGGTGGTTAATGTGACAAGGAAATGTTCCTATCAGACCATTGTGGTGTCTTATACGGAAGGTTTCATGAAAAGCAAGAAACATTTTGTCACTCTGATGTCACTTTGATGTCATTTTCTTAGTAACAAACAAGAACCAGAATAGTCCATCAAAATGCGCTAGAGTTAATAGCAAGAATTTTACTCTTGTGGGGATCTCTAAGAAGACTAATTGGCATTGCCTCTTGTCACAGCGTAATTTAAAGGCTGTCTGAAATTCCGAGTGCCACTTCAGTTTGTCGGTGACCATCAAAATGAATAAACATCAATGTTGGCCTAGACTAGACGCATTTACACATGAACTTACCGGCAGGCAGCAGCAAGTTCCATTTGAATATTTAATGTTTGGTTTTGTTTAATGGCTAAAATTTTCTGTAGTGTGCATGAAACTCAACTTGGTTTCAGGAAGGTGTCAGTAAAAAAGGGAATTCAGGGACAAGCAGGCAAGCAGCCTGGGCATGAGCTGCATCTGCATCTCCAGTATAAAAGAAGACAGGAAAGCATAGCAAGTTGGCAGTTGTTAGTCAAGTCTCTTCAAGCATGGTGTAACCTGTAAGTAGTCGAATGGCGGGCGCAAAAAGGAACATTCTGACCAATCCAAAATATGCCATTGCTCAACTCACCGATGCTTAACTATTAATGCTGTCAAAATTACTACTACCAACTACCAAGTAGTAATACACACAAAGACCTAACGAAGAAGTTGATATATAATTGTGACACCCAATCATCTCTGCTTTGGTCATATCATTAGTTTATCGCCTACAATGTATACAATGACGAGAGCGACGGCGACGGGCTAAGGTCACCGGGAAGTTACCGCCGCTAAGCTCCATCCACGTCCACATTAATGTCAATTATACAATCTTAGTCTGCCAACACATAGAACAAGTCCTCATTGTTCTTGACACCCACCATGTGGCATCCCGCCACGCCGCGCCGGCCAATTCAGCCATTGCTGCTGTACTTAAGCCACCTCTTGTACTCACACTCCTCTTGATGGATTCTTCTTCCACCTCTAGCTCGGCCAAGAACTAGGAGGTGTGGTCTGAGTGGAGATTGAGGTTTGAGGATTCGGTGATCGGGAAGTGGAGGAGGGAGATGGATAGGCTGGTGATACCGGAGCCGACGAACGAGGTGGTGGTGCGCGTGGAGCCCGGGAGGCCGGCGAGGGGGGAGCTGACGCTGAGGAACGCGATGCACACCATGCCGGTGGCGTTCCGGCTGCAGCCGGCGGTGAGGAGCCGCTTCGCCGTGCGGCCGCACACAGGGATCCTGGCGCCGCTCGCCGCGGTGACCGTGGAGGTGGTGTACCTGGCGTCCGCGGCGCCGGAGGGGCCCGGTGGTGGTGGGGGAGCCGGCCGCGGGGAGGACGCGTTCCTCCTGCACAGCGTGGTGGCGCCCGGCGCCGCGGTGCGGGAGCCCGTCACGGCGCTGGACTCGGTGAACCCGGAGTGGTTCTCCGCGAGGAGGAAGCAGGTGTTCGTGGACAGCGGCATCAGGGCGTGCTTCGTGGGCGCCGCGGTGGCGGCGCGTCTGGTCGAGGCCGGCGCGGTCGAGGCGCTCAGGGAGGTGCTCGACCGCAGCGAGCCGGAGTGGCGCGCCGCGGACGCCGTCGACGAGTCCGGGCGCACGCTGCTCGACCTCGCCGTCGGCCTCGGCCGCGCTGACATCGTGCAGGTGCTCCTTGAGTACGGCGCCGACGCCGACAAGCCGAGCCGTGGGCGGACCCCGCTCGAGACAGCCGCGGCCTCCGGCGAGTGCCTCATCGCCGAGCTCCTCCTAGCAAACGGCGCGACACCGGCGGGCTCCGACGCGCTCCACGTGGCTGCGGCCGCCGGCCACAATGATGTCCTGAAGCTGCTTCTTGGAAAGCCCGCTTCAGCTTCTCCCTCGTCGGCGTCCTCCGCTTCCTTCTCTTGCTCCTTCACGTCCATTGACGCCGCGGGGAGGGACGGCAAGACTCCTCTGCGGCTAGCGGCGGAGGCTGGGAGGAGGGACGCCGTGAAGGCGCTCCTCGCCGCGGGCGCGAGAGCCGACGCGAGGTGCGGAGCGGACGGCGGCACCGCGCTCCACGCCGCGGCGAGGCGCGGGGACGAGGTGATCGCGCGCCTCATTCTCGCGAACGGCGCTGCCGGCACGGCGGCGGTGCGCGACGCGGCGGGGAAGACGGCCTTCGAGATCGCCGCCGAGGAGTGCCACGGCGGGCGGATCATGGACTTCCTCGGCCTCGGCGAGGCGATCCTCGCCGCCGCTCGCAAGGGCGAGGCGCGGGCCGTCCGCCGCGCGGCCGACGGCGGAGCGTCCGTGGAGGGGCGAGACGCGCACGGGTGGACGCCGCTCATGCGCGCCGCGTTCAAGGGCCGCGCCGACACCGTGCGCGACCTCGTCGACCGCGGCGCCGACATGGACGCTACCGACGCCGAGGGCTACACGGCGCTGCACTGCGCCGCCGAGGCGGGACGCGCCGACGTGGTGGACCTCCTCCTGAAGAGCGGCGCGAACGCCAAGACCACGACGGTCAAGGGGAGATCCGCCGCGGAGGTCGCGGCCGCCGCCGGCAAGTCCAAGGTGGTTCGTCTCCTCGAGAAGGCCGGCGGGGTGGGTCGCAAGGAGGTCGCCGAGAAGACGTCGCCGGCGGCCGTGGTGGGGAAGGCGGGGAGCCTGGACAGGAGACGGAGGGGGAGGAAGGGAAGCAGTGGCGCCATTCGGTTCGGTGGCGGGAAGGACGGGTTTGAAACTGCCGCGGTTGCCGTCGGTTGGTCGCATTAATGTCGCACTTCAAACTGAGGTGGCCATTTGGATTTTGGAAGATTCAGATGGGTGAGTTGGAAATTGTGATTAGTTTTGGGTGAGAGGTGATTACTGATATGTCTCCGGGGAATGTTTAAATGTGTTTTTATGTAGTATATATTGTGGTATACATACATTTTGTAAAAATTAATTCTCTTAGAACAGTAGTAATAATTATAGTTCAAAGGTTTTACTTTTTGTTTGTTGTTATTGTCAGATTTCTTACTAGAATGGTAGGGCCAAGACGGTCCGAATTGTTGTAAAATAGTGGGAATTAACTTTTAATTAGTTGTTCCATGTTGGGTTAAGAAAGAAAATGATGAAAATTATACGTCGACGATTCAATTCCAATAAATATGTTTTTTTCAAACAATATACACAGTCTATAAATCAAAATTAGACGTGCCTGCATCAGATGTCTGATCTCTAGTGAAACGTACGTCTTGTAGTGTTTTATCATTTAGTGAAAAGTATTTCAGTGCTTCGTAAAATATGTTTCAAGCACATAGACACTAAACAATGTTGATTGTAACACCAAGAACCCAGTACGTACAACATTGAACAAAACCGATTGCATCACAATGGAAATAATGTGTGCAACAAAAAAAATATTAATTGCAACATCAACAAAACAATGAGATGATGATGGACACAACGCAGAATGCACATCGTATGCAGTATCTGAGTAGAACACTACGAGATAAAACAATGGATTGCAACAAACCTACCGCGTTTGCCTTATATTATCTACTCCGATAGTCGGGTACACCTTTTTCCTCTACTCCAATGATTGGGTTTGCATTCTTCCTCCACTCGGGTGGTTAGATATTGGCTTCCCACAATATCACCTCTTAGGGAGGCGACACAACAAAGCGAGCTCGCAATAATTGAACCTACTCGTCTCCCTAGTTTCACCATCTTCCACATGGATAGAGAAAGAAGAGAGAGCAAAGGAGATAGAGAACAAAACAGAGGGATGAGAGCAAATGGGTTATGATATTTCTTGCTATGTTGGACACCCACACCGAACATATTTCATTGTAAATTATTTTTAACCTTACATGATATAAATATACCATTTATATTCATTGGAAATGGATTTTTTAAGGCATTGTTTTGGAGTAGTATGGACTTGTTTACTCATCAAGACGTTACGAGAGTGAGTTGCTAAGAGGCAACATTTTTTTTTATGCGGGGAAACATATTTTGTTCATGTTGTCTTTTTTTTTAAGGTTGTGTGCATCTTGATGTAGGGACTAGGTGTAATTTCATATTTAATGAAATATATATATTATCTTAAGAAAAAGAAAAGAAGCCGGGTTTATTTTCCAGGATGATTTAAGTCTATCAGTAGTTTGGCGTCAACGAGGGGTATCGGGTACATAAGGTACCCAGTTGATCAAACTCTCATTTGTATTCACCATACGTACAACTTCTTCTCGAGCAAACAAGAAGGGCCAATACTCATATTCTGGAGTACTAACTTATTCTCAATTGTCATGTTGGAAAAAGGCATCGGTGCTACTTGATGCTAGTTGCATTCTACTCGTATTATTTGGCAGTACCAAATCACGTGCTACCTTCACACATCACTCTCTTCTTTTTTATGCACAGACACCATCAAGCTGCTACATGTTTTTTTTTTCAAAAAGTAATTTTCATAAAATTAGTGATCCATATTTAGCACCTGACACATAATCTAGGTATTATCATTATATAGTTTCATAGAATTACACCGTTAACTAATTTGACAAGCTACTATAGCAAAATGAAAAAAAAAATGCTCCACTAGGACGTCTAAAACTTTTATATATCGACTTCGTAAAATTCAAGATTTAGTCATATAATTCATAAATATAATAAATTAATGAGCACTTAGTCAATCGTGTGGTTTTATGAAATTTCTATTATAAATATTTGAGGTTATGTGTGTAATATCAAAATTTGGTCAGTTTAAGAAATGTGGGGTCTGGAGGGGGTGGTTCGATTTTGGAGGAACTTCATAAAAATTCCAAAATAAGCTAGTATAGCGAGTGGTTAAGTACTCGGGGAAAAAATTGAAAACTTTTAATCTGGACGGTTTTCCTTTTTCAAACTGCAACTTCGCAAGCTGCTTTGAAAAACGTTGCCGCTACCAAAAACAATTTTTTGTCCTACCTCCGAAGCTCCAAGGGGAAAAAGCATGGCTCGTGCTGGCAACGGGGAACCGGTGATCTTCCCAAGGAGATCCAACGGCCAGGATCGTCTACCAGGCTGTGCAGCCGGCCATGATTCGAGGCAAGTGTCTGTGGCCTCAAAAGAAGAGAACGCAACGGGAAGAACGGGCCTAGGGTGAGTCAGCCCGGGTACAAATGAAATAGGCCCATTTAGTACCGTACCACGTTGCACATTTCGTAGAGAATTTACTAGTCCGTGCCATTTTCATGGTATACTCGACCTTACAAAAATAAATCGCTATTTGAGTATAGCATCAAAATTTACGTTTTTTTGTTTTATAGCACCGAAAGTTACCGATTCACTTTAATAGCACCTAAAGTTCACTCTGTTCCCATTTTTAGCACTTCCGTCAATTTTTCCGTCCATCTTGATCGTTATTGATCTAGCCACACACACGATATGACATTTCTACCCCTCATTGACATGTATTATACTTGTACTTGTGAGGGGTAGAAACGTCATATCGTGTGTGTGGCTAGATCAATAATAATCAAGACGGATGGAAAACGATCGAGAATTGACGGAAGTGTTAAAAATGGAAACATGGTGAATTTTGGATGCTATTAAAGTGAACCGGTAACTTTCGGTGCTATAAAATTAAAAACGTGAACTTTCGATGCTATATAACCAATTTTGCCACGAATGAATATATGAGCTGTTCTTCTATTTTCAAAAGAAAAAGAAAGTATAATGAAATGCAATGTTCAAATAAATTAACCCCTGTACGGATTTGTTAATGTGTTTTTAATGTGAAAATGCACTGGTGGTATTTGCTAGCTTTATAATCTCGGTCTGGAGCATAGAAGATATTTTTCACCCAAAATAAGTTCCATGTTCCGAATATGGAACTCACAGCGTGAATGCATGATACTTACATTTATAGAGGAGTAATAGGTAAACTTACATATTCCTCCCCATCATTTGGCTTATTCGAGGAATAAGCCAAATAAAATATTTGCAAACAAAAAATAATTTATGAATAAAATCTTTTATATACATGTTCTTAAGATCTAAAAACAAAGGCCGTAAAATAAACTACGATGAAAAAAAACCAAAATCAATTTAACTGATAAGTATAAATATAAGTGAAAAGATGGGACCGCTAGAATTGATTTGAATTGCTCGCCTATAGATGAACCTGTACGAAAAATAAATGGCAAGTTTTCAGTGGAGTACATATAAATAAGCAATGCAAAGTATGTTCTCGCTGTTTTATAGTACCACATAATTATAAACAAGTAAAACTGCAGGACATATGCCCCTCTTGTATGTTCAGTAACAGTAGTATTATAGCTTATTTATTTATTTATTTTTTGAATATTTACCCAAACCACAGATTAAGGAATAATTTTTGTTCAGTGTTAGAGCTATTACCCATAGTTTCAATCGACGAGATATACCAGACAATATTTGCTTTAAAAGTCCATCAAGTAGTAATACACATTTTAGCATTTTCTCACACACATATTTTAGCAAGCTTTTGGAAAAAAAAAGGGCACATTTTGTTTTTTTCCGAAACAACATTGTACGGCAAAGCAAACTGTATGCCTCACCAAAAAAAGGCATGAAACAAAAAAAAAACCAAAAAAAAAAAGAGAGGAAAGCAAAGGGCTTCACTATTTTGGGGCTTTTTGACCATCCGATGATCTATTCCCATTCCATTCTTTCCATTCTGTTGCACGTCAAAGTACAGGGAATCGCGGTGGGCCACGGAACAAAACAAAGCTATACCCCCCCCCCCCCAGGCCCCCCCCCCCACACACACACACGAGAGACACACCCCAGCCAGGGCCAGGGTGCAGTGCAAACAAACCCTAGCTAGCCGGACCCGCTCCCTGATCCGGTGCGCCCGGTCAAACCCCGAGCCGCCCCACCCGGTCACGCCCCTCCCCTCCTCCCCTTCTTCCCCCACCCTGCCCCCACCCCCTCGTCGGACCGCCGCCGCCGCCGCCGCGGACGCCGCCGACGACGACGCAGCTGTCGGGTGAAATATCTCCCGGCGTCGATCGCCTCTCGTTGCTTCCCTGTGTAATCGGGGGGGGGGGGGGGCGGCGATGGGGCGGTCGTGGAGGAGGCTCTCTTCTCTGGATGGATTGATGAGGGGTTGATCTCGGAGGGGGGGTTGGCGCGCGTTTGGGTTGGGGGGACGGGTGGTATGGAGAGAGGAGGAGGAGGGGGAGGAGGAGGAGGAGGAGGGGTGGTGGGGAGCGAGCAGGGGACGCCCGAGAGCGAAATGGGAGATGGCGACAACGACAGCGTGGACTACGCCGCGGAGATGGAGGCGGACGCCGCCGGGAACGGCTCGGCGGCGGCGGCGGCGTACGCGGCGCGGGCCGGCGTCTACGACGGCGTCGACCCGTTCGAGGGGATGGAGTTCGACGACGAGGAGGACGCGTGGACCTTCTACAATGTCTACGCCCACCGCGTCGGTTTCAGCACCAGGATCAGCGTCATGCACCGCTCGCGGAGGGACGGCTCCATCATGTCGCGCCAGTTCGTCTGCGCCAAGGAGGGCTTCCGCACCTACCGCGGGAAGAACGAGGTCTCCCCAGTCGCCGCCGGCAGCGGCGAGGACAGCGGGAGGGGCCGCCGGACTCGGGCTGTCACGAGGGTTGGGTGCAAGGCAATGATCCGGGTGAAGAAGCAGGACAATGGCCGGTGGGCGGTCACCAAGCTTGAGACCGCGCATAACCATCCTCTGGTCCCTCCCAACCAGGCACACTGCCTGCGCCCTCACAAGCCACTCTCAGAGTGCGGGAAACAGCGTCAATTTGGGATTCCTCGAAATGGTGGTATGCTTCTCGCTATTGAGCCTCCGCCACCACCCATTTCACCGCCCATGCCGCAGACAAGCGTTCTTCAAGTGGTTCCCCATTATACTAGGGATGGTATTGGAGATCATGCACGAGTAATTCTGGATTATGTCAAGCGCATGCAAGCTGAAGACCCAGCTTTCTTTTATGCCATGCAATTTATTGATGGGCATCCAGTAGGTAATATCTTTTGGGCTGATGCAAGAGCAAGGATGGCGTACAAACACTTTGGGGATGCCGTATTCTTGGATGACTACTGCAAAAGGAACAAGTATCAGCTCCCACTTGTTGCATTCACCGGAGTTAA